TTGAACAGTCTTTCACCAACATCGTAAAGACCCAATGCGAGAAATTTAGCGGTTTCCAAATTTAGGTCATATATAATCGTGTAAAGTTGGCTTTTCATTTTCGCAGAAATTATGACCTAAATTTGGAAAAATGCCGCTAAAATGCCGGCAACAGCAGAATTTCGACTTAGACCCCAAAGAGGCGTGGCACTATAACCACGTGACATTTACTCCGATCGCCAAAAATTTTATGCTATATTGTAGATTGATCTATATGTTATCCATGCTATATGTGACACCTACGATTAAAGTAAAGATGGGGAGACCAGAGAGCTTCAAAGTAGGATGGTATCCTCACAAAATAACTGGGTCGAGTCACCTTAAGAGGGAAGATGTTCTTGGATTGCTTCCAGCTAGGTTAGGAAAAAGCCTGATTTACTAACTCTTTTAAATGAAGTGTTGACAGGCCAAACACGACTCATAAGCTCGTGACCCTGGAATTTGTTTGAACAACAAGTTTTCCCTCTTTCCTTTCTCACCGCTGTGTTTGGACATAAGTAAACTTTTACCGAGCAAGTCTTACTTCTGCCGCAGTGAGTCATACATCATTGAGGGTGATTTTGCCCTCGCAGTTATTTCCTGATGCTGTTATCGGTGTTTCTGGTAGCCATAAAAGTGACAATTTTTGAGTAATGGATTGTGTTTTGATTGGTCCTTTTGACATCACCGCCTTCACTCAACACTTGTGGGCGTAGGTGGGCGGAAGAGCCAGAACAATGGACTGGTAACAGGCGCTTTATTTTTCTCCTCCCCTCGTTTCGCGCTTCGCACTCGTTTCGCGCTTCGCGCAAAATGACCCGTTCGCCTCGCTTGGCTCATAAAGCGCCTGTTATGCAGGCTAGTCACAGTAATAATAACCGTCATTATGAACAGAAATATGAGAATTTGCCTCAATCGGAAAGTGAATCCACTTTTCTAAAAGATGTTAACACTGTGCTTCTTGGTTTGCGAATCTTTAACAAATTTGTATAAGGGACTCTTCATGCGAAATCGGAAGTGCATTATCTCAGTAGACATGGCTTAAACAAATAGGCTCAGTGAGGATTAAAATGCTTTGCAGCTTCCTGTAGATGTAGATCTAATTTAGGAAGAGGTAAGTTTCGTCACCTAAAGCTTTTCATCTTTTAAATCGGATCTTTTCCGAAGTTTGATTGGTGTAACGATCGTTACGTCATCTGCCGATAAGTGAGTAGTTATAATATGATGCCTTACCGCTCACTCTTAGTACCCCAATTTAACGGAATTAATCAGGAAAATGATAGAAAAGCTTGTCATTTTCTGCAGGTCCTAACCTCCCTTCGGTCGAACCTCAGGTCGTTCCTGCAGTAAAAAACTAATCTTTTCTAACATTTTTCTGTTATTTCCATTTAATGGTGTACAAAAAAAGAGCGGTAAGTCGTCATATTATAACTACTCTAGAGTGAATAACAGGGAAAAAGTACCAATGCGACATAAGCTGGAAAATCATCCCATTATAACTACTATATTTTTATTTACCAACAAAAATAATCTAATTAAATAATAAAAATGGAAACCATGATTGATATTCCAACAGAAGAAGACACAAATTTTATAGTTGACGATGGTTATAATCATGATGAGGACCCAACATATGAGCCTGAAGATTCCTCCTCATCAGATGAAGACAACAAATATGTTGTTACTGGTAAAGAGTTTAAAAAACTTACCAAAAAAGCTAAAAAACTTGGTGCTGAATCTCTTGATTATTCAACTCGTAAAAATAACAAATATGTAGCAACACTTCCAATTGGAAAGAAAATTCATTTTGTGTCAGCGCAATATCCAGACTTTTTAATTCATAAAGACAAAGAGCGAAAAGAGAGATATCTCGCTCGAGCTAAAAATATTAAAAATAAACAGGGAGAGTTAACTTTTACTAATCCTGAATCGGCTAATTTCTGGAGTGTAAATTTACTCTGGTCAGAAGAATGATTTAGAAAAAAATAAAATTTAAAGAATAAAAAACATATAATAAAATGGGATTTAAGTCGGCAACTAACACTAATGTTAATTATAAAATTAATGACTTAATATTTTCTTCAAGGTTAGAATATCAAACTGTTGAAAGTATTGACAGAAATCTTAAATTTCTTTATTCACCAGCTCCTTCTAATAGTTTGTGCTCAACAATAAACTATTCTCTAACAAGAGATAATGTTGATAGTTTTAATGCTATACTTGATAGAGTTGAAGAACGGATTGATAGATTTAACGAAAAAGTTAAAATTATAGAAACAGATGATTCAGCTTTTAATGAAGAGTTTCCTGGAATAGTAGACTTTTTATATGAAGCAAGTGATTTACCTGAAAATAGTGAAAAACATTTTGAAAATAGATTTATTCATATTTCCAAAAGGTTGTGGGATAAGGGAATTCATCCAACTGAGTTTTAGTTTTATATCATTCTCTTGATACAAAACTTGTTTTTGGGGCAAATCTATTTTGAGGTAGAAAAGATGATTTAAAGAAAAGTAAATATATAATATAAGATGACTGTTGATTTGAACAAACTTTCTATTTCTGAATTAGAAAAACTAAAAAAGGGTTATACAAAACTCTATAAAACAAAACTGATTGATGAAATAAAAAAAATTACGTAAAGAAACAGAACAGGTAAAACCTAAACTGAAGGAGCCAAAGATTAAAAAACCTAAAACTTTTGAACAATATTTTCAAGAGTGTATACAAAATAAAAGAAGACCTCCAGATACTCCTTTATATTTACGAAAAGCTCTTGAGAGAGCTATGAGAGAACACACCCAAGGGATAGTACGAGAAAAATCTGCTTTTGAAGATTTTGCTAACAAATATATAATTGATGGTGAGCCTGGGTTACTTCCTCTAGAATTTTTTAGAAGACAGAAAGAGTATTTAAAGGAGTTTCTAAAAAATCATAAAAATACTAAAGTTAGGTTTGTGTTGGTTTGTATGATAGAAAAACAGGAAGGAAATGAAAAATTATCGTTTAAAGTCCAGGATAAAGCCTATTTTCATTCTAATTTGCATATTAATCTTGAGTCAACTGATGAAAAGGACCTCCTTGCTAGTGTTATACATACTATTCTTGAAAAGATAAATATTTACCAACAAAATGGAAGTGGATGGTATTTTAAAGAGATAGTTAATCTAGAAATTCATACTGTTAAATATTATCCCATGAAAGGGGGGTCTTGTATTCCTCTTCCAGATTGGATTATGAGAAAAAAAGCGATTGTCAGTTTGAGAAACAATGATTCTATTAGTTTTCTTTGGCCTGTACTTCGGTATCTTCATCCAAGAGAAAAAAATGACGCCCGTTTGACAGACCTCCGCCAGTATGAGCATGAGCTTAATATTCCAAGGGGATTTACTTTTCCAGTTAAAATAAGAGACATTTCCAAATTTGAAAGCCTTAATCCAGATATTCCAGGAATAAATATATTTTCAGTTAATGAGTCTAAAAAGTTTTATCCCCTCCGAATGGCGTTACGAGATCCCCATAAAACAATAGGCTGATTTCTTTATGAAGAGGATGGACGACATCATTATTCTTTGATCAAAAACTTTTCTAGTCTTTTTCGCTCTCAAATAACATCAAGAACAAATGAGCCAATTAATATTTGTAAGAGATGTTTTACTCATTTTACAAAGGAAGACTTGTTACTAAAACACACTGCTTATTGTTTATCTAATGAATCAGCTGCCGTAAAAATGCCCCCTTCAAAAACTATTCTCAAGTTTCAAAATTACAACAAACAGTTTCCAATTCCTTTTGTAATTTATGCTGATTTTGAATGTTTTACTAAACCAATGGGGAGCTGTTGCCCTAATCCAGAAAACTCATACTCTTATAATTACCAGAAGCATGAACCATCAGGGTTTTGTTTCTATATTAAAGGGGTTGTTCCTGGTAAAACATTTAAACCAATTATTTATACTAAGAAAACCCCAAATGATGACGTCTCTTCTATTTTTGTTTCTAAATTAGAAAAAGTTGTACATAAGATCTACCAAGATTTTTATTCTAGACCTCTACTTCTCAGAATGACACAAGAACAACGAGTTTCTTACAGTAAGTCTGAGAAATGCCATATTTGTAATGAAGAATTACTTCCCACTGATAAAGTTTGTGATCATTGTCATTTTACTGGGGAATATTGCGGAGCCGCTCATCGGAATTGTAACTTACAATGTCGAAAACCAATGATTATTCCAGTGGTGTTTCACAATCTTCAAGGGTATGATGCTCATTTGTTTATTAAACAGTTGTCTAGTTTGAAAGGTGACCTCACCTGTATTCCTTCAACAGAAGAAAAATACTTTTCTTTTTCCAAAAAGATTAAAGTTGATGAGTACCAAACTAGAGATGGAAAAAATGTTTCTTTGAATATGGAGTTAAGATTTGTTGATTCTTACAAGTTTCTTCAAACGATTCTTGCCAATCTTGTTAAGAATTTACAACCAGATGATTTTTATAATACAAAAGAAATATTTTGGGAAAATGTAGATCTACTAACTCGTAAGGGAGTTTATCCTTATGATTATGTTTCCTCAATCGAAAAACTATCTGAAACACAATTACCTCCAAAAGACGAATTCTATTCAAAACTAAATGATGAATGTATATCAGATGATGACTATTCTCATGTACTTAATGTCTGGTTTACTTTTAACAAAACCCTTTCTTTGTGATTATCACGATCTTTATCTTAAGTCTGAAGTGCTTTTGTTGGCGGAGGTATTTGAGAATTTTCGAGCAACTTGTCTTCGCCATTACAAATTAGATCCGGCTCATTATTATACATCTCCTGGATTAGCATGGGATGCTTGTCTTAAAGAAACAGGACAACAACTAGAACTATTACATGATTATGATATGTTGATGATGTTTGAACGAGGAATTCGTGGAGGAATGACCATTGCATATTGCACTAAGGTATGCAGAGGCAAATAATAAATATATGACTAATTATAATCCAGATAAACCTTCTACTTTTATTCAATATCTTGATGCTAATAATCGTTACGGATGGGCAATGTCGCAATCACTTCCAACTAAAGGATTTAAATGGATTAAAGATATTACAAAAGATACCCTAATGAGCATTCTTGATAAAGCTAATTATAGTATGATAAACCCAAAGAAAGGAGATAAGGGATATATATTTGAAGTTGATCTTGAGTATCCTTCTGAGTTATGGGATAGCCATAATGATTACCCTCTTGCTCCCGAGGGACTAAATGTTAATGGTGTTGAAAAACTAATCTCCCATTTTAAACCCCGAAAAAACTATGTAATACATTATCGAAACTTACGTCAGTGTCTTGAGATGGGGTTGCGGGTAACTGCTGTTCACAGAGGACTAATCTTTAACCAGTCCCCTTGGATGGAACCCTACATTAGAAAGAATACTGAACTTAGAAAAACTGCAGCAAACAGTTTTGAGAAAGATTTTTTTAAACTGATAAATAATTCGGTATTTGGAAAAACAATAGAAAATATCAGGAAACGACAAAATGTGTTACTTGTTGATGATCGTGAAAAAGCCGCTAAACTAACAACACGCCCCAACTTTGATCGAGCAACTATCCAACCTTATTGCTGTTCATATGAAGCGTACTGAGGTATACTTTAACAAACCAGTTTATGTTGGTCAAGCAATTTTAGATTTATCCAAAATACTAATGTTTGATTTTCATTATAACTATATCCGAGAGAAATATAAGGGCGGTCAAGCAGGGGAGGCTAACCTACTTTTTACAGATACAGACTCACTGTTATACTTAATCCATACAGATGATTTTTATAAAGATATATCTCATGATATCAAAACACACTTTGATACATCTGATTACCCTCCTGATCATCCATCTGGAATATTAACAGGAGTAAACAAAAAAGTTATTGGGTGATTTAAAGACGAAGTAGCTGGTCGTCAGATTACTCATTTTGTTGGGTTGAGGCCAAAGCTTTATTCTTTTAAGGTTGCGGAAGGAGGTATAACCAAAAAGTGTAAAGGTGTTAAGAAAAATGTTGTTAAACGGGACATCATATTTGATGATTACGTTCGGTGTTTGTTTTTCTGGAGAGAAACAAATGAAATCGATGAAAATTATAAGAAGTGAAAATCATGATATTTACTCAAACGAAGGAAATAAAATAGCTTTGAGTAATGATGACGATAAACGCAGTGTGATGGAGGATTGTATTCATACGCTGGCCTTACGGTAAACCGCTTTAAGATAGTAGAATATTAATAATAAATGTGTTATACAGAAGAGCAAATAGAAAAATATCTAGAAATATTAAATAATTACAATAACACCTCTACCAACTAAGCAGTAGAGGAGGCGGACGTGGACGCGGAAGCGAGTAGAAAAGTTAAATGTTGGAATTGTCAAAGTGACGGAAGGGACTGTTTCTTTGTTAATTCAGGTTATAGCATCTGTGACTCCTGTGGTGTGAGTAACGGTCATGTTTTGGGGTATTATGACCAGAAAGATTATGATCGATTACATTTTCGAAAGAAGAGTATTTATCAGAGACGCTACCATTATGAAAAAAAGATTGATCAAGTTTCTCAAAGATTACACTTAACTGAGGAACAAAAGCATAACCTATTCAATAAACTAATGACGATAGACAATCACGTCATGGAAATACTAAACAAACAATTTTGTCGAAAGAGAATAATAAGTATTTTTTATCTAATTAAGAAATTCTCAGAAGAAATGGGAGGTGAATAGAGCAAAGCGAGCAAACTAGTTTATCTTAAGATTTCCCCCCAAACTCTGGCGAATTATGAAAAGTGGTGGAATAGTTACAAATCACTCAGCCACGCCTCTGTGAAAGCACCAGTAAACAATCCGAGTTAGAAGACCAAGTAATTCATACTTTCTAAATGGTGAATTAATGGCATAGACACAACCTCGTCCAAGGCGGTACCGTTTCCAAAATGAACGAAAAGCGAGGCTAAATATTAAATGATTGGCTAGTACAGTTGATTTTGATTTACAACTATGTCTTGCGCCAGAGAGTTGATAAATTATTTGATTAATGTTTATATTCTGAGTAAAGTATTTTGCATGGAGATACTGATAAACAAGACAAGCTTTAATAAAGTTATCACAGTAAAATTGTGTGTTATTTTTGGGAAAGTGAAAATTAACAAATGCTACAATTGTGTTTATCATTTCTATCTTATGTATAGATAGAAATGATCTCAACTCAAATAAGAAGACTCACATAAACTTTTTATTATATTTCTTAACAAATCTATCTGCAAGAGGAGTCTGATCAATTATCATTTCATCTATTAGTTTCATGCGATCAATAAACTCTTGTTTGTTAAACTCATCGCCTCCAAGAGCTGAACGCAGTTCAACCAATACTTTGTCATATGTTGTAAATGCTATTTGTGACATTTCAATCTTTTTCTTATAATTCTTCTTTTTTGCAAGACTTGCCACAACCACCCCAGCGCCATTTATTACACCGAGTATTATTGTATTTAGTGTTATTCCTCCAGTGATAGTTCCTATCACCACTAATCCTCCTCCAGTCAGCGTAAGTGTTTCATCAAGAAGTTTATATCTTTTGTACGACCGCTTAAAACACCAGTATTTCTTGTGATAATGTTTATAAAAATCTTTGAGACAACCGACGTCTGATTCTGACAGAAACCTGTCTATGTGATTAAATTCAAAGATATCCTTCATTTATATCTATAATATATAAGATCCACTTAACTTTTCTTGAAGCATTACTTTGTGAAATTGCTCAGAGTCAAAGTCGTAAAAGTTTGGAGAAAACATTAACCTATTTAACTCTCCATCTTCAGTTGTAAACTTCCAACGTTGATTAACATTGTATTGAACGGCTGGTATAGTTAATGTTGAGCTGTAGTTACTTATTTTAACTTTTGTGACATTTGTATCAAAATTTTCTGTCAGCCATAAAACAATTTTTTGGCCATTAAAATCACTTGGCATGGTAAAACTTTGAGTTGTTTTACTGACAGTTAAATTTACTGATTTGTTTGTTTTATCATAATTTAATTTTAATAAAATGTTATTGTTTGCTGATATATATTTAATTATGTTAAAATTCCTATTTCTCCAATGATAAAAAACAATACATAAAGTAGATTTCGAAGAATGTGAAGGAGAAAAAGTAATATTATAACTAATTTACATTTAAGCCATCTTTTTTTATATTACTTAGGTCTTTATTAGGTGGTAGTGTAATATTAGGTTTTATTTGCATCACTAAAGTCATAAAATTCTTCAAAAATATTTCTGTACAAATTGTTTATTGTAAAATTATTCATACTTTTAATCTGACCAATTGTGGCAACACTAGTATTGTCATTAGCATCGATTTTTATGTTTTTAATTACATTTTGATTAGCATTAATATCAACGTTATACACCACTTCTGTTGGGTGGATATCAAATGCGGTGTGATACTCGTAAACTTTATCTGGATCGATATTGCTAACTGTACCCACAATACCATAAGCAATTATGTAAACTCCTGAGAACTGACTCGGATACACAGCAAGATCAGTTCCATCCTGAGGAATATTATTAACAATGTGAAGAAAGAACTTATTCCCATATGGCAACTTCTTAAAATTAACTACCACCCTATGGTAATACATAAATTGTGCTTGACCCTTTGAATTGCTGTACCTATGGGAAAGTTTTCTTATAATAACATTTCCAATTGATAATCCTGTTGAAGTTCCTTTGTTTACACTTATTTGAGACTTATGCCACAGCTGATAATCATTGTTGAGTATTTCCAAACACAGCGTGTAATCAGCATTAGCAGTTAACCTGTAAAAGTTGATTCCCATTTTGTACTTATATCCACCTTGAGAATTTTTGTTTATTGTTACAAAAATTACTTTGTGGTTGTAATTGTGAAAGTTACCTTTAGAAGGTGGTAAGTCTCCTATCTTTTTTACCAAAAAACTATTTCCACCATCTGTTTCATCAGTCCATTGAGACCCACTAGTCATAAGATAAGCAAACTGGTCGTTGTAATGACTTGGTTGAACTGCAGTATGATGAACTAGTTTGTCGACATAATCTTTGGTTACTGCTTCATTGTCTTGGGTTGGACCACCCAGATTTTTTATTTTATAGCTGTTAAGATTTAAGTCTCCAGTCATAGCTACGGTACCATCTTTTTCCAAATAATCACTTAAATCTGGTGCAGCTGTGTTATCATCCACATACTTTTTGGTTGCGGCGTCTGTGGGGGCTGTCGGCGTTCTTAAATTATTTATACTTTTGTTGTCCATGTTTATATTATTAAGCATTTTATTTGTTCCAGCAACGTGGAGATACTTAAAATCTGTGAAAGCTAATGGTGTTGGTTGTCTGGGACCATCTGGGGCTGGCAGATGAAATATTCGATTGTTGTTCATGTCTAGATTTCCAGTCATTTTTTCTGATCCATCTAGATTTAAAAAATTATCTACATAATTTTTTGCCGCTGGTTCACTGTTTGTTGTGGGTGTTCGAAGATTTAGTATTTTGTGGCCGCCAGTGTTGAAGTCGCCAGTCATTGCAGCAGTTCCATCTCGCTTTACGTAGTCAGCTACTGTAGTGTTAACCAAATTGTCAGTGTATTTTTTTGTAGCTGCATCACCTTCTCCTATAGGATCTCTAATATGAGTTATGCGATTAGCACCCATATTTAATTCTCCTTTCATTCTTATTGATCCATCAGTTTTTAAAAAATTATCATCACTGTATGATTTTGTTGCTGCTTCATCTGCATCAGATGGTTTTTGAAGATTTAGTATACGGTACCGGTCTTTCATACCAATGTTCGAATCCACTGTTAATAATGATGTTTTTCCAACCCCACAATTATCATCAACATACTTCTTGGTTGCTGCATCGGTGTTGGAATTTGGTTTTCCAACATTTCTTAGTTTTTTACCCACCATATCATAATCCCCACTTGAAGTAAGATTAAATCCAATTCCTGGAGCGCCTTGAAATCCCTTAGCAAAGGGATGATCAAAAGATTGTTCGTTAAATATTCCCATTTTATTTAATAATTTATATAAAAGCAGGGGGATGCAGTCCGCCGACAGGCGGCAGTCCCCCCACAATTAGCTCGTAGAGATATAATCAGTGAAGTTTTTTGCAATGAATTTCTTTGGTTTATCCACATACAGAAATGTGAACGGTTTTCTAGTTGCTGCTTTATACACCTCTTTATTAACTCCTAAGTCAGATGATATTCTGTTTGCTTCTCGCGATGATGGAAATTCGTACAGGCAGTAGTGAGAACAATTCAGTCGAATATCCTTTGGAGTTTTGTAAAACGACTGACTTAGATAAATCGCCGAGCAATTCTTATGTCGTCCTTGAATAAAAT